ATTGAGCATTTTACGAAAGGGAAGGCCCTGCTGTGAAGGAGCAAGGATGAGGTAATTGTACTGGAAGTGTAACTGCTGGAAAGAAAAGATTGATTGATTGATTTTCAGAGAGAAATTGTGTGTGTGCATGCGAGCGGAGGGGGGGGCGGTTGGGAAGAGGGAGGGAGAAGGAGAGAGAATCTCAAGCAGACTCCCTGCTGAGTGCAGAGCCCAACTCGGGGCTGATCACATGACCCTGAGATCATGACCTGAGCCAAAATCAAGAGTCAGACACTCAGCCGACTGAGCCACCCAGGCGCCCCGGAAAGAAGAGCTTAGACCAGAGAATTCGTGAAGCAAGGCTCTGGGGACAGCAGGGAGCCAGTTGTCCCTGCTGCCACCTGAGTCCGTGTTGTGTTCATTGACCCTGTCCTAACCAGCAGGAGCCAGGAGCTTCTCTGCAAACACCCAAACTACTCGTAACCGGAAATGATCAACCAGTAGCAAAGGTCATGCATAATCTGCGATAGACAGTAACGCCAGCCCCTCGCTCAGGACTAGCGTTGGAGGTTTATTCCTGATAATCCAGGTACCTCACCCTCCCGTGCTGCCATACATGTTGTGTTGGACAGGAAGAGAAGGCCTCTAGTCCACCAGCCATGCTGTATTCTGTAATATCCTCACTGAGAATAGTAGTTATTCGGGGGGATTGACAATTTCCAGATTTAGAAATACCTTGTCATTTTCACAGTCCTGCTATGTCCAGTGTGGTGGGGCTAGAGTTGAGGGTGGTCATGTGCCAGGTCTGCTGGAGCACTTTTTCTCAAGATCGACACTAATATGAGGACACACAAAAAATTAACATACAGCCCAAATGACTTATCAGTAACAATTTCCACATAAAAATTTAAAAGGCATTCGTACAGTATACATTTTTAAATAAAAGTGCCTTTTTGTTGTATTTCTTTGTGACATCTGTTAACCTCTACCTCACATTCTGTGGGACATATTTGCACCCGAGGTGACGAATCCCCAAATTCTGTCATCCACAGGGTACCAATAACAACGATGAGAGTCCCTACCATTTTCACTTGCAGGCTAATTGACTATACACGGAAAGTAAGTACATATAAATAGTGTGAGCTGAGTTCAGAAGTAGTGACACGTACAGGTGGCCACGAGCAGTGGTCCCAGACCGAGCATGTAATGTTTGGGACTGGACCTTGGGAAGTGGCATTCAGGAAGAGACAGGCAGTAAGAACCACAGCAGAGAGGAACAGTCAAGGACAGGTGTGTCCAGGCAACGCTGAACCTGCCTCTTTGGATGGACCTGTGCTCATATAGAGGAGTGGTGGGAGAAATAACTAGAAAGATGGAATAATTTCTGTGGCTACCAGCTATAGCCAGAAAGACTGCAGAAGGCTTCAGTGGGAAGCAGAGGAGGCTGAACTTTATCCAGCAATCAGAGGGTGCCACTGGAGATGGGAAGTAAGGTGATGAAAGCCACATGCTGAGACTTTTACAAGGAATCCACTGAAAATGTAGCACTTGAAAGTGGAATTGAATATGAGGGAAACTGGAAATAGGGTGATTGGCCATCCAGTCTTGTAAATTGCTTTTTATTGTCAGATGAAATTCATTTCAAAAAGAACTACACTCCTCTTGGGTATATATGTCCCATGTTGAATTCAATCAAGAAGCAAAGTAGAACAATTACTGTTACAAGGACACAGGAGGTAGGAAGTAAGATGGCACGGTAAACCCTCACTATTTGTAACTTCTGGATCCCAAAATGTATATATTTCACCAAAGCGTATAGTTTTTCCCATAAACTGCATATGACTTCATTTGAGAATCTGCAGCAATAAGTTGAAAGTAATAAAGTTGGGGGGCTCCTGGCTGGCTCATCGGTAGAGCATGCAGCTCTTGGTCTCGGGGTTGTGAGTTCGAGCCCCACGTTGGGTGTAGGGATGACTTAAAACAAAATCTTTCAAATAGAAAGAAAGGAAGTAACAAGTTAAACATAACATGTAGAGAACAGGTAGTCAGCTGTGCTCAGGGCCAAGCGACCCTAATGCACCTGCTTGGAGCAGCACAAGCTGGCCCTTTTGTGCCTCTACAAAATTACACCTGAATTCTTGCCAGGTCCTTTTAAAGTCATTTTTGTTTTTGTTTTTGCTTTTTTGGAGAACTACCTGTTCTCCAAAATGGATTTCAAATCAGCCTGATTCTTTGCCACTAGACTCACAATGACACCCGAATAGCCCTCTCCTCACAAAGGAAGAGAACCTTTCTCTGGCCTTCTAGTAGCATCTCTTCACTGACTCCACCCCGTCTCCTAAGAGTGAGAACGCCCCCCCCACACACACACAAACAGTTACTCCTTTCAGGAGGCCTGTGGCCACCCCCAAACACTTCCTGTATCTCTGATATAGTCTGGAGTTTAGCTATAAACACTCCGGTTACAGCCATAGCTCACCTCCCCGGGCTCCGGGCCCTACAAATGCTTCTTTCCACTACTTCCTCTCCACACCTCGTCTCATGTGGGAAACCTATCGGAAAGCTCTTCGGGACTGCCCCGTTATAGAAGAGGATGGCAGAACCAGCTCAAAGTGACCTTAGTTATAAGAACAGGAAGAGGGGACTTCCCATAGGTCACAGGTGGCCGCTTTTCTGTGTTCCAAGACCTAAGTCAGTCAGTTACTTTGAATTAAAATGCATATTGTCATGATATCTCAGCATATCATAATTGACATCTAGGTAAGTGAGCCCTAATGAAACGTCACAGTTAATGACTACTTCCAGAACTTAGAAATTTCTAAATCAAATTCAGCCTTAACCATGTTCTCCCCGTGCTGCTTTTCTCTAACCCACTATTGAAAAGGGACTGTTTATTTTAAAAATTAAAAAGCTATAGGACAGGCTCCTTATCTTATGTTTTCCATGATTCCTGTTACCGTAAGCATAAACAGAATCAGGCACATGTATAATAAAGTAACACCCATCCATCCTAGATTCTATAGATAGTCCCTAAGAAAGAAAAGAAACATAGTTGGCTCCTGTACAAATCACTAACAAGATGGAAGCTGACTCACTATCTTGGTTACTTATTTTGTAACCAATATATACTCCTGAAAGCCAGCCCAGTGGGGTAACCTGGCCAGAGCTTTTCAGTGTCCTAGTTGATTCTCAGCTCCTTAAGAGAAGGAGACCCTCTGGGGGCGCCTGGGTGGCTCAGTTGTTAAGCGTCTGCCTTCGGCTCAGGTCATGGTCCCAGGGTCCTGGGATCGAGCCCCGCATAGGCTTCCCTGCTCAGCCAGGAGCCTGCTTCTCCCTCTCCCGCTTCCCCTGCTTCTATTCCTTCTCTAGCTGTCTCTCTCTGTGTGTCAAATAAATAAATAAATAAAATCTTAAAAAAAGAAAAGGAGACCCTTCAGTAGTGCAGGAGTTCCCAGCCCCCCCCAACCCGAGCCAGCTGAATAATCCTCTCTCTCTTCCTTATCCAAACCCATGTCCTCCCAGATTTTCTTTCTGTAGTCATCCACTACCTCTTTTTTAAAAACTCAAAAGGGAAAAGCCTACAGCTATTGGAGAAGAGAATCTGCTGCTCAGAATACTTCGTTTCAGCCTAAAGAGCTTTTCCAAATGAAAAACGATCACCAGTGGGTCCCAGTAACCAGGGCTGTGGGTCCTCTGGGTGGGAGCAATGATCCTCTGTGCTAGGAAGAAATGTAACAGATGAGACTTTTTAAATTGCTTCCATTTCACTTAGAACTGAGGTTTGCGTGGTCATGTGACTTTTCGTAACATCTGTTTTTTTCTGGCAAGCGACTCAGGTCTGGGAAGCCAGTTAGAGGCCCAGTGTGCCGTGTAGGTGGTAGAGGATGCAATGTCACGTGAACCTATTTTATTTGGTCTTAAGCAAACCCAATACCAAAGCTAATGGAAGCTTGCTGTTTCATTGTCCTCGTTACCCCAGAGCTGCGGGGACAGAAAGAAATTGAAAGCAAAGGTGAAAAAATTGTTGGGAACACGGCCTAAAAGCAGGCAAGGACCTTTCTGACGAAGTCGGAATTGGCTGTTTTTACCTGTGCGGCTTAGGGTAGACTAGCAGAACCAGGTATAAACTGCCCTCTGCTGCCTGACACAGAGAAGTACATTTAAAAATGTCCGCTTCATTAAAAAGAATCCTATTCTCCAATGCCTCTGTGAATGGAACAGAAAAGGGTGGGTTTGGGGGGGTAACAACCCGCAGACTCATGCAAGCCATGGACCTCACAGGTCACCTAATCCTCTCCCAGGTGAAGCTGAAGGAAGTTAGAGGCAGCCCTCGTGAAAAGTGCTATTTGGGGTTTGGAAGTCCGCCTCACTACCCCATCTGCAGCCTTGCTCCAGCAGCATCCGTGACACCCGGGGGCTAGTTAGAAATTCAGGTTCCTGGGCCCCGCCCTAGGTCTGCTGAGTCAGAGTCTGCCCATTGAGAAGATCCCCGGTGATTCACATGCACACTTAGCAGTGAGAAGCCCTGCACATAACTTCAGAAGGAGCCTCCACCCTGGAGAAGAGCCTCCAGTCCCAAAGGTTTGGATCACACTGAATTCAGTTTGAACAGGGGATAAACACAACACAATAGAAGAGTTTGATCCTCTATTAAGATCATAATTGCCTTACGTCCTTATTTTCTTAATACTTCGGTTTTATACAGCTCACACATCACTGGCCCTTGAACTCGCTGTCGTTCACGTTACTGGCCACGGTTCAGTGGCAGCTGGCGTTTGCCAAGCAGTCCCCTTGAAAATCGGTCTGTCCCGGCAAGTTCGTGACAGGCGTGGATTTGATCTCGGGCAGCACCTGTGTTTATCGTACTCCTTATGTGCTGCGGTCTTCTCGCTCCCCCACCCCCACCCCCCCCCCCCACCCCCCCATCCCCCGCCTTATGCCCCTGCCGTTACTGTTTTAAGAGTAGCAACTTGACCCATTGTCAGTCTGTTGCTAACCCGGAGTGTTCTTTTCTGCGCCAGGTCAGGGAAGAGTGCCGGCTCCTGAACGCCCCTCCTGTTCCACCCCGAAGCGCAAAGCCTTTGTCCACAAGCCCCTCGGTCCCTCCTCGTACGGCCAAGCCAGCGCGGCAGCAGACTCGCTCTCCCAGCCCCACCCTGTCCTACTATTCGTCAGGGCTGCACGACATGTAAGTCTTAACGCCAGGGCACGCGTCTTCTTGTCGGCCAGTTCACCGGTTCTTGAGAACAGTGCCAAGGGTAGCTGTAGCCTGGGCAGGAGGTGGGAGAGGAAATGTTCTTTAAACACAAAAGAATGTCACTGGAAAAGCATGATGGGGCCCCTGTTGGTTTCAAGCGAGGATGGAAGAACCAGTGTCCTAGGAAGGAAAGAAACCACAGTATAGGTGAGAAACTCCGCAATAAGGGCCGACTGGATTCTCTTTAAAGCAAGCCACAGAGTGCCACCAGCTCTCACAAACCAGCCTCTCGTTCTTTGCACTCCCACTTCTGCACAAGCAGACAGACGACAGCACCCTCAACCGGGACCTAGAGCTGAAAGGGTCCTGTTGGCTCTGCTCTGGCTTTCCACCCAGTACGGGAATCCCTTCTTGACCGCTGCAGTCCGGTAGCCATTCGCTTCTGTCTGGATCTTTCCAGTGCTGTGAGCTCCTTCTTTTGCACTGCAGCTCATTCCATCGTTGGCAAACGCCAGTGATTTTTTTGGTAATCTTTCCCTATATCCAGTTGAAATCTATCTCCATGTAAGTTTCAACTGTTTCTTACCTCTGGGGGGAAAAAAAAAAGATCCTCCCTGCTTCTCTTTGTCAGACTGTGAACAATTTGAAGTCAGCTAAGATGTAAGTCTTCTCTTCTCCAAAGAGATCGCCTCAGTTCCTCCAGCTATTTCCCCTGGCATCGCTGCCTGGTCCCTCATCAGCCTGGTCACCCCACTTCTGAGCACACCCTGGCTTCCCTGTCACTCTTAAAATATGGCCCCCGAGTTGAAGGCACCGCTCCATGTCTGGTCTTCACCATGTAAAATAGCTCTCTTTTGCAGTTATTTTTTGTTCTCTGGACGTTGAAATCCTTATGCTAGTTTTACTCAGTTGAATAGAAGCCAAGGCAAGCATTGTGTTTGATGCATTTCTTCTCACCTCAGACTTTGGGATGGAAATAGAGTCATAGGTGCTGGTGCTGTAGTCTTGTCACATGACCCAAGGATGACAGGCACGAGGCCCCCATGTGCAGCTCTCGAGCCACCCTGACCCGCTGCAGACAATACTCGTCATTCACACGACCTACTGGGATAAGCCTAAACATGGCTTAAGAATTTTTCTCATCGTGGGGCGCCTGGGTGGCTCAGTCATTAAGCGGCTGCCTTTGGCTCAGGTCATGATCACAGGGCCCTGGGATCGAGCCCCGCATCGGGCTCCCTGCTCGGCGGGAAGCCTGCTTCTCCCTCTCCCACTCCCCCTGCTTGTGTTCCCTCTCTCGCTGTGTCTCTGTCAAATAAACAAATAAAATCTTAAAAAAAAATTTTTTTTCTCATCGTAAAGATCCAGGCACCCACTCACAGTGATTTTCTTGTTAGTTAAATTAAATATATATATATATTTGCCACCTATAACCCTTTAAATCATTATAATTCATATCTGTGTAATTATCGATGAGTTTTAGTAACTTAAAGACTTTTTTTAAAACCCGGTGAAGCGGGCGCCTGGGTGGCTCAGATGGTTAAGCATCTGCCTTCGGCTCAGGTCATGATCCTAGAGTCCTGGGATCGAGTCCCGCATCGGGCTCCTTGCTCCTTGGGAGCCTGCTTCTCCCTCTGCTTCTCTCTCTCTCTCTCTATCTCTCATGAATAAATGAATAAAATCTTAAAAAAAAAAAAAAACCCGGTGAAGTTAGCAGGTACTTTATCGGATTCATGATAAGAAATACTGTATTTTTCTTCCTAGCTGTCCTTTTCTACTCAGAAGTGACATCTGGGGGATAAGGGTCGGCTCGATATTTGGCTTCTACTTTTGACTCACCTCCCTTTCTGTGTTTGCTCTTAAGCAGCGTTCCTAAAAGCGACACAAGTCCTTCCGAAAGTGCACCTGTGTCCTGCTATCCCTGCAACCGCATGAAAACTGATTCTGTGGACCTCAAGTCCCCAATGGGAAGTCCCTCTGCTGACACGCTCTCCTCCAGGCTCTCATGGCCCAACCATTATTCGGGAGCGTCGGAGAGCCAGACCAGGAGTGACTTCCTGCTGGGTCCCAGCAGGAGCTACAGTTACCCCAGACAGAAGATGCCAGGCACACCAAAGAGAAACTGCCCAGCACCCTTTGATTTGGACGGCCACGAGCTCTCGGCCAGTCCCCCTGGCTCCGTCACTTCAGAATTCAGCGGCAGCGTCTCTGCCTGTCCCAAGTCCGCCAGCTACTCTGTGGAGAGCACAGATGAGAAAACTCTGGCTGCTGACACAACCAAGCAGAGTATTTCATGCCCTGCCTTACCCCCCAGGGCTCCAAAACCAGTGGAAGAGAAAGCTGCCTCGGACCCTGCTCCTTTGCCTCTGAAAATTGATGGTGCTGAGGAAGACCCCGAGTCTGGGTCACCGGACCTCTCTGAGGACCAGTACTTTGTTAAAAAGGGCATGCAGGACATCTTCTCCGTCACCTACCCTTTCTCATCTCCGCTCCACCTCCAGCTGGCCCCCAGGTCCTGTGGCGATGGCTCCCCGTGGCAGCCGCCCGCTGACCTGTCGGGACTCTCTATAGAAGAAGTGTCCAAGTCGTTACGGTTTATTGGTTTGTCTGAAGATGTCATATCATTCTTCGTTACTGAAAAGATCGATGGGAATTTGCTTGTTCAGCTGACGGAAGAAATCCTCTCCGAGGATTTCAAATTGAGCAAACTGCAGGTGAAGAAAATAATGCAATTCATTAACGGCTGGAGGCCCAAAATATAGCCAAATAACCCCAGCTAGCATTGAACAAAATGGACAAATGTGTGTGCTAGAAGGGGTGGGCTGGGACACAATTCCATGTTTTTTGCACTAAAAACCTTCTCTGTAAATAGGGATAAGAGAAACTCTTACTATGCAGATTACGTTTTTGAATGGTGAACAGGCTATTTTGTACATCAATAAAAATGCCGTACAGAACACTTAGAGGTGTGCCTTGTACATCACTCAACAGCTGCTCAAAGACAAAAGGCATGTTCAGAGAATTAATTCTCACCCAAGTAGGTTTATGCGAGAAGGTATGATATTTATTACAAAATAGCCAAAGCTGAAAACCGTAAGAATCAAAAAAACAAAAAACAAAAAAACAAAAAAAGAACTTAAAAAAAAAAAAAACACTTTTTGAACAACAGTTCTCTCCTTTGGGGGAATCGACTTTAGACAATTAACTATTCTGTGCTCTGTCGTTTGGATTGCTCAATGCTAATTGTTTTACTCTTGTGCCTGAAAATGTTAGTGATATGAAATGACACTTTACTGTTTGTTACATGCTTGGTGGGGATCTTTTCATCAAAAGGCATTTTCCAAAAGTCACATGTTGATAGAGGATGTATGAAATAATACAAATCATGACCACAATAATTTATCTGTAACTGCTGCTAATTTTATTGAGCAGTGGGAAAAAAAACCCAGAATATATACATGTTTGATACACAATACAAACATGTTTTAAACGTCATTATTAGTCTCATATTTTAGATAACATCTGTTCACTTTCAAAGATCCATTGAGGTTTGGGGCCGTTAACTAAGTTGACGCTCTTAGGAAGAGTGGACAGAATGATTCCAAAGATTCTCAGAACCCTTCCCCTCGAAGCTCAGTCTGACTCGGCTTCATCACTGAAAGCTTGGAAGAAATCAGTAGAGGGTCTGTATTAAAAAATTAAATTTGATTGTAAGCCCATGGGCGGTGGTTTGCATGTAATACTTGCATGCCGATGTCTGAGAAAATGGTAGTTTCTTGTCAGAGGGTAATTCATCTCCAGTTTGAGGGTCTTCTTTTTTCCCCGGTGTCTAACAGCAAGAGGTCTGAAGAGCATTTCTCAGAGTGTGTTAGGTGTTCTCCACACGCTTGTGCTTCAGGAGAGCTCAAAAATCAGACTTACGACCTTCATCTTTTGAGTAATTTTTATAAAGTATCAGTAAGTACACTTGTTTCGTTCATAAGCCTCTTCTTTCCTCTCGTCCAAAGAAAATACATTATTACCATACTTTTATTCCAAGAATTCCAGGACATTATTCTGACGGTTCTTGACAGATGTAATTAAAAATTCCAAAATATGGCCTCATCATCATTGTTGACTTTTTGAAGGAATGTAAATCTTAGAAAAGTTCTAGTTCTCCGAGCAAGCCACCAGCCCTAGCCCTGCCTCCCCCACTAGTCTGATTCTGGATGTGCAGACGTCTGTGACTGAGGTCAGCCCACCAGGCGTCAATATGACTTGCAGGATTAGCTTCTATCTTTTTATCCTCTCTTCCTGCTCACCATAATACCTAAACAAAGGTAAAGACAAGACCCACGATAACGCAACATGCAATATGCAGTATGGCTTTATTTCTTGACATTAAAGATGTTCTTAATCCATCTCCTGTTTTAGAATTGAGGTGAATTGAACCTCTTCTCATTTTCCATCCTAAATCTTTTTTTTTTAAGGCTTTTTTTTTCCCTCCCTTCACACATCTCCCAGAATGTAAATACTCTTGGTAAAATGCATCCCATAAGGAAAACTGAAGCGCCCCTTCAGAAGTAATTGAAAAATCTATACGGAAGTTTCCGGTCCTGCACTCACATGACATGAGACCCCTCAGTCACTTTTATGTTTAAAAAAACATCCTTCTGTGTGAGCAACTACTTCCATGGCAACATTAACCTCTCAGCACTTCCTTTTAAAATAAAAACAGAGAGGATGCAGTTGAAACGCTGCACGTTTTTCTCTAGCAAATCCTTGCTGAGTCTGCTTTTAAGCACCTGACCCTTGGACACAATTCTCGGATTCCGGCGGGAGGAACAGAGCGGGTTTGGGTTTACTATGAAGGCTGCCCCACATAAACAGCTGACACCTTGTATGTTTCTCTTTTTGTGTTTTCTTTTGCAAAAACTTGACACAAATAGTTTCTGGTTTTTGTCCTGGCGTGTGTACATCGTTTGTATTGGTGGTAAAATAGAGACTACTTGGGGGCAGGCGCTATGGCCTTTGGGTACTCTATTCAAATTTGTTGAGCACCTTTTATTGCCAGGCACTATGCTGGTATGACTCGACAATGCAGGAAAAAAAAAAAAAGCCCTCTTGGAGCTCATGATGTTTATATTTAAAATCACAGTTGCTGAGACTGCAAATGTGTGAGTAAGAGAGACGGGAAATCTTCTGGGCAGTTGGATGTATGGAGAGTTAAGTGTGTTCTGTCTTTAAAGAATCACAGATGGAAGAAATGGCAGGCTTTATTAAAGGGGTAAGAAAATCAACGCCACTTGATCGTGAAAACTTAGAATATGTCGGAGGCTGACAGTGTCTCGGACTCCCACTGGCTAATGTTCTCTTTTACCGATTAGGAATGTTTTTAACTGTGATAACTATCTCCTGGCATCTCTAAAGGCACAGGTACATGTAGTTGCCGTTCCTGAGCTGAACACCTTGGCGCCCTCACTAGACAAGGCACGTATAGGCAGAGAGGATCACAACAAGAGACACAGTGCAGGGATGGGGAGGAACTGGCCTTTCCCTGCTGAGAGCTGCAGTTCCGCAGTGAGAAATGATGTTCTAGAGATCCCCAGAAGCAGAACTTTTGCTAACCCAACCAGGTCAAGACAGCATATCTGGCAGGTTCCCTGCAGTCAATGCGGTGACCGTGGGGCTTGGGGGAAAGTGTCTGTCTAAACAGGACCCTCCTTGGGGTTTAAATTCATGGCCCCCATCAGAAAAGAAAATCAGCAATAAGCCAAACCAAGCAGCTAAAGTGTAGAATATGGACCCAACTCATGCTGGAAGGGAGAACTCACACACTCCCAGACTGATTCTTAGAATCTTGTAAACGCCGGCACATTTCTCCTTGAAGTTGAGCTGCTCAACTTTATGAACTGTGAAATTTACATTTATACTCTTTCAACCCACATATACCATTCAAGTTTATGAAGTTTCAGCAAGCTGCCCATTCGACTAAATTGATACGTTTATTCTTGTCTCATGTAGAAATAAAACAATCTTATGGGAAACTGTTATGACAATCCATTCCAACTGTTTTCAGACACATGCATAAACACCCTCTGCTCACATTCCAGAACCACCTGCACACCATCCATACAACTCCTTGAGAAGTTCAGGGGGTGGATGTGGATGGATAGAGGGTCCTTCATTTTCCAAACACTTTGTGTAACAAGTCACTACTTATCATGCCTAAAAAGCATAAAATTAACATTTTGAATAACAAACCGGAAAACAAAACCATTCTCCAAAGTACCTCGTGAACCATTCAAAGGAAATTTCAACGTCAGTCCCCCAGAAAAGTTACATCTGCTGTTGGACACACGAGACTTTCAGAAACTATGACCATTCTATCAATTCCCACTCTTTATCTTGTAATATAAAGGCAATGGGCTGCTAGGGCAAAAAGAGTAAAATGCCCAGAATGCAAATGATAGAAAGTAGGATTTTTTTATGCTGTGGGGTTGTAATATTGTGGAATTCTCATGGCCCCTTCTTGTCAAGTCACATTGCAGTTTAGTCTTTAAAACTTTAGTCTTTAAAAGTTGTTTTAAGGGCGCCTGGGTGGCTCAGTTGGTTAAACGACTGCCTTCGGCTCAGGTCATGATCCTGGAGTCCCGGGATCGAGTCCCGCATTGGGCTCCCTGCTCGGCAGGGAGTCTGCTTCTCCCTCTGACCCTCTTCCCTCTCGTGCTCTCTCTCATTCTCTCTCTCTCAAATAAATAAATAAAATCTTTAAAAAAAAAACTTGTTTTAAAATTGATCTCATTGTGAAAACCAGAAACAAGGGGTAAACGTGTTATCAGTTAAAACTATGTACAAATATCTTCTGTAATTTTGCTGCTCTGTCTAATTTTTAGGCTATGAATTTTGTAATGAGCTTATCAGATTATAAATTTCCTTTGTTTACAATCTCATGTAGTCGGGCTCAGATCATTTCTCAGCTATCAACCTCTTCTCCCATTTTCATATTAAGTTCCATTTAAAATAATTGTTTAAGCTAAGCCTAAAAATTGAACTCAATTAATCAAAAACTGGAGGAGTTTTCCTTGATTTAAATGGAAAGGCTATATTCTTTTCAAAGAATTTTGTAACCGTCTTTATAGGTTCTTTGCTTGGAAAACCGGGGGTGTTAACTACCAGTTACCAGTTGTGTTACTTTCCAGAGCATTATCTAATGGGCCCAATGTGTACCTCAAGATAAACATGGTATGTTCTGTCTAAAAAAATTCATTGTTGATTTAAATGGTTCCGAAATGTCTATAAATAAAGAAAATTTAAAAGTTGATCCTCTTGCAGTTCGAATCATCTTCTATTTAAGCCTTCAACCTTCTGTCCTATTTCACAGGGATAAAGCTTATGACTAAATCCATAGGTGGCCACTTCCCTGGGTTTTGGGGATATGCACTGGAAGAACGTGTAGCATTGAACCTGTAGGATGGGGTTGGCTAAAGCATGCAAGGATCTATCTCAAGGTCCTAGGAGTACTTACATCAGATGGACACTAGGACATATGATTCCCCCAAACTGAAAATTGCAAAGTAAATTTGAGTTTAGAAATAAGGTGGGTTAGAGTCAAATATCTTGAGGTTAGAAAAAGCCAAATCATTGAAAAGAATGATTAAGCACTGGATAAATTCTCGTTTCACTGCAATGAATTTTCCCAGTCCCTTCTTGCTTAGCTGAGTCATACACTTCCTTCTGGATTTACCAGTACCATTCCCCAAAGCCAGTTAGGTTGCCCTCTGTGCTGGCCTAGCTTCCTGTCCCTTTGTAAGCTATAAGCTCTTCCTATCAGGGCTTATGTCTCCATTGTTGTGTCTTCAAAAGTAGATGCTATTTAGGGTTCTATTGAATGACAGTATGAATAACATCACATTCCTGCTGGTGGCCAGGCTTTGTGCCATCAAGATCAAGATAACAATAAAGTTAAAAAAAATGACACAAATGAAACTTGTATTTATCATTAAGACTTCTGAGTAGACTTTTTTAAAAGACGGCAAGATATGAACTTGTTCAGAGGTCCCAGATCATTTGCATCATTTGCCAATGAATTCATTCTCTTCTAACAGTTTAATTAAGCCAATGACTTCAATTCTTTAATGGATATAAAACAAACTAAAAAAGAGCAGTATGTGCCCATCGACTGAGTGAAATATTGGTTCTAAAAGACACAGGCAATTGAGTAGTAGATA